TATTCTGTTGTCTTGAGCCGCCCATTGAAATCTTCTGTTCAGCTCTTTTACTTCATCATTTTTTCGTTTTGCTTTAGCTACTCTACAGGTTCAAGAGCAACTTCCACAGTCTCTTTTGACATCCATTTTGGTTTTTTCTTTCTATTTTGTCTTTTTAATGAGCTCTTGTCTTCATTATGATGTCTTTGATGTCATTCCACAACTCATCTGGTCTTCGGTCATTAGTGTTCAATGCGTCAAATCTGTTCTTGAGATGATCTCTAAATTCAGGTGGGATATACTCAAGGTCATATGTTGGCTCTCGTGGACTTCTAATTTTCAACTTCAACTTGAATTTGTGTATGAGCAATTGATGGTCTGTTCCACAGTCGGCCCCTGGCCTTGTTCTGAGTGATGATATTGAGCTTTCTCATCACTTCTTTCCATAGACGTACTCGACTTGATTCCTGTGTATTCCACTGGGCAAGATCCACGTGTAGAGTCACCATTTATGTTGCTGAAAAAGGTATTTGCAATGAAGAATTCGTTGGTCTAGCAAAATTCTATCACGTGTCTACAGCATCGTTTCTATCACCAAGGCCATATTTTCCAACTACTGATCCTTCTTCATTTCCACCTTTTGCATTCCAATCACAAGTAATTATCAGTGCATCCTGATTGCATGTTCATTCAATTTCAGACTGCATAAGTTGGTAAACATCTTCAATTTCTTCATCTTTGGCCTTAGTGATTGGTGTGTAAATTTGAATAATAGTCAGTGGTCTTTCTTGTAAGTGTATGGATATTATCCTAACACTGACAGCACTGTACGTCAGAAGAGATCTTGAAATAGTCTTTATTATGATGAATGCGATGCCATTCCTCTTCAAGCTGTCATTCCCCACATAGTAGACCATATGATTTTCTGATTCAAAATAGCCAATGCCACTGCATTTCAACTAATGCCTAGCATATCGATGTTTATATATTCCATTTCATTTTTGACAACTTTCAATTTTCCTAGATTCATACTTTGTACTTTCCACGTTCCGATTATTAACATATGCTTGCAGCTGTTTCTTCTCATTTTCAGTCATGCCATGCCAGCAAATGAAGATCCCAAAAGCTTGATTTCATCCATGTCATTAAGGTCAACTCTACTTTGAAGAGGCAGCTCTTCCCCAGTAGTATTTTGAGTGCCTTCCAACCTGACGGGCTCATCTTCCGGCACTATATCAGACAATATTCCACTGCTATTCATAAGGTTTTCACTAGCCAATTGTTTCAGAAGTAGACTGTCAGGTCTTTCTTTGTCTTAAAGCTCAGCTGAAACCTGACCACTAAGGGTGACTCTGCTGGTATTTGAAATACTGGTGGCATAGCTTCCAGTATCACAGCAACACACAAGCCACCACAGTATGACAAACTGATACATGGTGGAATCTTCTCATATGCATGTGAAAGTTGGACTATGAATAAGGAAGACTGAAGAATTGATGCCTTTGATTTATGGTGTTGGTGAAGAATACTGACTACACCATGGACTGCCAGAAGAACAAATCAGTCTTGGAAGAAGTACAGCCAGAATGCTCCTTAGAAGTGAGGATTGCAATATTTCATCTCATGTACTTTGCACATATTATCAGGAGGGACCAGTCCCTGGAGAAGAACATGCTTGGTAGAGGGTCAGAGAAAAAGAGAAAGACCCTCACTGACACAGTAGCTCTAACAATGGGCTCAAGCATAACAATGATTGTGAGGATGGCACTGGACCAGGCAGTGCGCCCTTCTGTTGTACACAGGGTCTCTATGAGTTGGAACTGACTAGACGACACCTAACAACAACAATCTTTAATACTGGCTTTAACCCGACAAGGACACTGTCCACAAAATGTGTAAAGAAAAAGCTGAGGGAGTAGAAAGTAAAACATTTACAGGTACAAAAATGGGGATATTTAGCCTAGAAAGTATAAAACCTGAAGAATATATCAGGATATTTCAAGAGTTCCATATGTAAAAGGGAATATATTTATTTTTTGCATGCCCAGGAGGCAGATATAGGTTTGATGGGGAAGATTTCTAGATAAGTCTGTGTTAATATAAAGAAAAAGAGGCCCTGTTATCTTTAATTGCTTGCTTTTATAAAATAAAATCAGCCATTTGATGAGATTGAGCCATGTAAAGCACCAACATTCCCACCACTGTATTCCTAGGATTCTCTTTACCTGGAATTGTGGTGAAGATGAGGACACCTCATGGAAGAAAGAAATCAAAACAAAAAAACCCACACACTTTCTATTTCTAAGACCTCTGGTAGTTGCCTGCAGGATCGGTCTTCTTTCATTCCACTTACCAATCATCTGAAAATTCCATTTCATCATTATCTTTTTAATTTCACCCATCACACATTCATTAAAGGACTGCCTGCTCTGTGATAGGCCCCGTTCTTTGGGCTGGTGATACAAAATGAATCTGATGTGTCATAAATAATTAGTTCACCCATCCATTCTTTGCTTGAAGTGTTTGAGGGCCTGCTGTGTGACAGGGACAGAAAGCAGCAGACATAAACAAGCATAAGCTCCATACCAAGATTCTCTATTTATACTAAAACAGAAGACAATCAGTGCTATATACTAGGGGCCAAACAAGAGTACCAGGATAGCACAAAGGGCAGTTGGGGTGATGAGAAAAGGGTTCCTAGAAGTGGTGGCCTCACAGAGGAGTCTTGATGTAAAATCGAAGAAACGGAGGAAAATGTGTTTTAGACAGGTGAGGTGGAAATATAAATATTAAGCAGGACGATATCATTAGATGCTGTGTTTAAAAACCAACATTCTGCTGGCAGTAATGAAGTGACTAAAAGATACTTTGGAGCCTACTGTAATGACTATAGGATATGTGGGGCTTAAGCTTGGGAAAGAGATCTCTGCTGGAGATGTCAACATGTGGGTGTTGACTGGGTTGGTGGTTGAAGCCAAAAACAAGGGTGGCTGTAGAACCTTTTCAAAGACGCTTAAACATGAAGATCATGAAAAGAGCTGAAACATAGCTAGAAGAGGGTTCAATTAGGTTGGAGAGATTTGATACCAAGGGAAAGTTGTCAGGAAATAGAAGATATTGAAGACACCAGAGAGAAAATAAATGATTGATGGTGTGATGGATCAGAAATGAAGGGAGGGGACCCACAGGTGATGGAGAAGGCCAAATTTTTCACTGAGATGGATAGTATGGAGGTGTAGATGGGTGTAGGGGCAGAAACTTTTGTAAGGAGAGGCAGGAAATTGAGGTAAGTCCCTGCCTGATTGCCTCTGAATGTATTCATTTATGAATTCACTCATTCAAAATTATTAAGTCCTTACTATGTACAGACTTCAGGTGCACAGGCATCAGTCTGGTTTAACCCACTTTCCAACCCTCACTAAAATTCCACCCGTCATGTAATACAGTAAAGAAATCATTTTTAGCATCAGATGGAACTTAACTCCAATTACTATCTATGCCAAGGAGACTAAAAATTCCCACTTCACAGGCGAACTGCATCATGTGGAAATCTCAGATTCCTGTCCTTGTTCTGACGCCAGCCACCCACACAGGATTCTCCCTCTGACTCTAGCCACCTGAGGCTAGGCCAGAGCCCCCAAGTTAAAAGGATGCCATCCTTCAGACTGCTAAACAGGCAGAAACCAACTTATGATCAGCTGACTAAAATTCTGTGGGTTCCCCCAACCCCTTAGAATACAGCCTCAAGATCAGGGATCCCTATCCTTCTTCTTCAGAGCCTCTTTTTGGTTCAATAATTCACTGGAATGACCCACAGAATTCACAAAAAGGCCATCCTTACAAGTATGGCTTAAATATAACAAAAAGGATACAAAGAGATCCATAGAGTGAGGTCTGGGAGGGTACCAGTGCAGAGCTTCCATACCCCCAGGACATGCTACCCTCCACATGGATGGATGTTTCTTACCAATGGGGAAGCTTCCTTAAGCCTCTAAGTTCTGGGATTTTACTGGCTACTCCTGCATGATAAGCTAACTTATACCTTGAGGTTAGCATCAGGCCACCAGGTGATCCCTCTGATCTTACCCGCCCTCACTCATTCACCTTAACTACACTCCAACACTCAGGAACCTTAAACAAAGGGCAAATTCTTTCTGCAAGGTGGTTCATCAACTCACAGTTAGCAATTCTGAAGCTACTTCATGTATATTCTAAGATTCAGGAACTAATGTATTGTGGATAATGAGAACCAGCAGTATTACTATTACAGAAAAGAGTAAGATAATAAAGTAAAGGAAAAAGCTAACAACTCTGTGGTGTCAAAAAGGAATAAAAAATATGGGAATGATCTCGTAATTTTAAAAATATATACAGATACATATAGAAATAGGTACAAATACGTGCCTTTGTATGTGTATACTCACACATTATTTCCTAGCTCTTTCCACACCGAGGACCCAGTAGCAACAAGCATACCTAATGCCCAGATCTTCATTTCTAAATATTATTCTTTAATAAAAGGAACCAGGGTTTCCTGGAAAAAAGTCTGATTCCAGTGCTTGGGCAAGAAAAGGACAAGATAAGCCTCAAACATTGGCAGAAAGTAATGTACAAGTTATAATGGGGACATGTCAAAAATACAGAAACCTACTTAAGGGAACTCTGGGACGATTTGAGCAACAAAGAAAAAAGTAATATGCATTAACTTATACTATCATAAATATAATAAAGCGGAAAGACGGAAAAGCTATTTCTTGCAGAATTCCAATTTATAAACATAAAAGAAACGATTGGAACAGAAAATACCATTTGGTAAACACCATAGTAATAACAATTACAGGTAATAATTATCAGTGGATCCTATAATTACTAGGCCAAAATACGATGAAAAACGAGAGTATTTGCAGTCTCAAAATATCACCCTATGAGAAAGTTACTAATTATAAAGAGTAAAATAGTTAACTTTACAATATGAAACAACAGAAAAGTAATAAATACGGAAACAAAAAAAACACCCAAACTAAATACAAGATCAGTGTATTTTATTGTGTGTAAAATAACATCAATAAAAACATTTAAAAAATATACAACCACGTTTTCTCAAAGCTATTTCCCTGCAGCCTTATTTTTAACAGCCAAAGACTAAGAAAGGTAAAATTTAGCTTGGACTGAGAAAATAAAAAACATTGATGAGGGCAGCACTGCAGTTACAATGAAACTATTATTTCTCCCAAAGGCACAAAATAGCTCTAATACCCCTTCTTTGAGTTAGTACTGCTTTCCTATGAGATACTCTGTTCTTTTATCAAAGACTTTGGCAAATTTGATGTTTGAAATTACAGCAGTAAGAATGAAACATCCCACTTTTGACACAGAAGAATTTATCCACTGTGAATTCTTATATGTGAAGTAAGGTGTGAGGCCTGACTAAAGGCTTTTCCACATTCCTTACATTCATAAGGTTTCTCTCCACTGTGTGTTCTTTTATGTGTAGTGAGGGATGAAGAACAACTAAATGCTTTCCCACATTCCTTACATTTGTAAGGTTTCTCTCCACTGTGAGTTCTTATATGTTTTGTTAGGGATGAGGTCTGACTAAAGGTTTTCCCACATTCCTTACATTCATAAGGCCTCTCTCCACTGTGAGTTTTTGTGTGTGAAGTGAGGTGTGAGTAACAACTAAAGGAATTCCCACACTCCCTACATTTATAAGGCCTCACTCCACTGTGAGTTCTTATATGCGTAGTGAGGGATGAGGCGTGTCTAAAGGCTTTTCCGCATTCCTTACATTCATAAGGCCTCTCTCCACTATGAATTCTTATATGTGTAGTGAGGTGTGATGACTGACTAAAGGCTTTCCCACAATGTTTACATTCATAAGGCATCACTCTGCTGTGGGTTCTTGTGTGTCTAGTGAGCGATGAGGCCAGACTAAAGGCTTTGCCACATTCCTTACATTCATAAGGTCTCTGCCCTTTGTGAGTTATTATATGTGTAGTGAGGTATGATGACTGACTAAAGGCTTTTCCACACTGCTTACATTCATAAGGCCTTTCTCTATTGTGAGTTTTCTTATGTGAAGTGAGGTGTGACGAACAACTAAAGGCTTTCCCACATTCCTTACATTCATAAGGTCTCTCTCCACTGTGAGTTCTTATATGTTTAGTGAGATGTGAGACCTGACTAAAGGCTTTCCCACATTCCTTACATTTATAAGGTCTCTCTCCACTATGAATTCTTATATGTGAACTGAGGAGTGACGAACGAGTAAAAGCTTTCCCACATTCCTTACATTTATAAGGTTTCTCTCCACTGTGATTTCTTATATGTATAGTGAGGGATGAAGAACGACTAAAGGCTTTCCCACATTCTTTACATTCATAAAGCCTCTCTCCACTGCGAGTTCTTATATGTTTAGTGAGGGCTGAAAAATCACTAAAAGCTTTCGTACATTCTCTATATTTATAAGGCCGTTCTTCACCCTGAGTTCTTATATGTTTAGTGACGGCTGAGGAATCACTGAAGGCTTTTATACATTCTTTATATTCATAAGATCGCTCTCCACTGTGAATTCTTATATGTTCACTGAGGTGTGATGGTTGACTAAAGGCCTTCCCACATTCCTTACATTCATAAAGCATGTCTCCATTATGAAATTTTTTATGTAAAATGGATGAATGACTATAGGTTTTGCAACCTTCTTTACATTCACACTTAAGGCCTCTCAAATGTGTCCAAAAGGATGAGAAACTACAGAAATGTTTCCCGCATTCTTTACATTGATAGCGTTTCTCACCAATGAGTGTTGTCACAGAATTCTTAAGCATTGAGATACAAATGAAGTCTTTCCCACATACCTTACATTTATGAGGTTTCTTTCCAGTAAGAATTCTCATAGGAGTGGATAGGTGAGAGGAACAATTGCAGGATTTTCCACATTCCTTACACTGAAAGGTATTGCATCTAGTGTGAGATCTGGTAGGATGCTTATGTGATGAGTGATCCATGAAGGCTTTTCCACTCTCATAGCATTTAAAAGGATTTACTTCTGGAGGATTATTTTTTAGGACAGTAATATTTGGAAGCCGGCTGAAGGTTTTCCCACACAGATGGCCTTCATTACTTTCACATAGGTTCTCTATTGTATGACTTCTGTTAAAAATAGGCAACATGCTGTTGGAAATAAATTTTGTTCCCATTTCACCATTACCAAACACAGTGAATGTGAATGGTCTTGTCCTGACTTAAGTTTCATAGATTAAATCACTTACCAGAGATACTATCATTACTGTCACTGTTTTTCTAATATGAGCCTTTCTGATAATGTTGTCAAAGTTTCAAATACTCGATATCTGACTTACATTGATAAAAGTGCTGTAATGTGAAAATTCTCTGAAAACATAATTTTACAGCTAGATTTACATATATATAGAAAATCACATATATATACGTTTGTGTGTATTTTAATGTCATAGTACATTAGGACTTTCTCCTGAGGCACTGTTTTCTCTTGTATGAATGACACTTACCTCAAATGTCTCCTCTGGTTTTCATGCTGATCTTTATTGCCATGTGATTCGAAGATTTCTCCTAACATGGAAGACCAGGTGTTATTCTTAATGAATTGCACCATTATATGTTCACTGGATAACTTTTCTCCATCACTAAGGTTTCGAGAGACTGACCCAATAATTCAAGTTGAGGTTCACCATGTGAAACAAAAAGAAACGAATTATTAGGGGAAAAAAGGCTGCTGTTAACAAAGACTTAGCCACATTTCGCTGTTTCAGCACTTTGACAGTGGTTAAAAAGCAATTTACAAGGAAATACACCCATGAGGATTGAGAGTGATGGTGATATAAATACGTATAATTAAGAAAACTAAGCACAAAGATCTTCGACAAAATACACATTTAACATTAAAAGAGGAAAAGGGTCTCCATGACCACGGGTGTGAGAGAATTGCTAAAGTCTGAAAAGCTCAGGTATCTGTGAAGTTGTGTACTCAACCCAAAAGTGACTTTTTCTAGCTGATTCAAATGTAATTCCCTCCCATGCTCTCCTTCAAAAAATTCTTGCTTTCCTGGTTCTCCCCAACAGAGTAGTCCTGAATGAGTTCTATCTCTACTGTCCTCATATCTTTCCCTTGCTTCTCTGGGAAAACAAATGTGTACAACTGACATGGTAGTCACGGAGAAATACGTATACGGAAGCTAGTGAAGAGTGATAAAACATTTCCCATGACACTGAGCCAATACTTTGCTCTTCAGAATCTCTGGAGATGGGAAGGTATGATATTATTTGCAGCAAAATAATCATAATAAACTTGTAATAAACATAGGAAAACTCTCTACAAGGTCCTGAACTAAAAATCTCTCAGCACCAGAGAGTGACCTCTGAAGCCAATGCTTACACTTATAACACTTGAAGAACCTTCGGGTTTTAATCACAAGAGAAATGAAAACTCACTTTAATATATGTAGCATTATGATCATGGATATGTGAACTCCAAAGACCAAGGGACCGTGTGTGTGTATGTGTATGTGTGTGTGTCTTTTAACAATTTATTCCTATTCCTCAGCCCACATACTGGAACAAAGTAGATAAGTAAAATATTTTTGTTCATTAAAGGAATTAAAAAATTATGCCATTCTTACCTACTGAGGCCAGGTTTCTGAAGGTTTCCAGCATCACATCTTTATAGAGTTTCCTCTGAGCAAGATCCAGCAAAGCCCACTCTTCTTGGCTAAAGACCATGGCCACATCCTCAGCGACCACTGAGTCCTAAAATATCCCACACATTCTGGATCAGCAATGTACCATGTACTACAATGTGTACAAGAATGAAGAGAGAGGTGGACATTCCTGGGGATCTGAGAATTCACAGGGATTTGACACAAAGTACCGCATCTCTAGCATATAGTCATCAGCCTCATCCCTTCACTAACTACATTCACTTCCTCACTGATTGCATCCTGTCTCACAGACTCCCAACATACTGAATCTCTCCAAATTTGACTGTCATCAACTGCAGTCTTATCCTTCTCTTTTTATGATCTAGAACACCTAGGAAATATAGCAGAAAGTAGAGAAATGCTCTAATTCAGAACACCACTTCCTTCTGAAAAAATAATTACACCTCCTTCCATAAAACCCACCAGAACACTCAACAAATTATAAAGCACTGGGTGAAGTCACAATGAGGTATTAACAACGGGGAACCAGTGAAGAATGGCAGTTTTTGTGTTGCTGCACACAGGCATGGGAGGACCAAATGCCTCAACAAGCTTGCATCCCAAGGCCCTGTTGTTGTTGTTAGGTGGCTTCGAATCAGTTCCAACTCATACCAACTCAATGTACAACAGAACAAAACACTGCCCAGTCCTGGGCTATCCTCAAAATCATTGTTATGTTTGAGCCCAGTGTTGCAGCTACTGTGTGAATCCATCTTGTTGAGGGTTTTCCTCTTTTTTGCTGACCCTCTACTTTAACAAGCATGTCATCCATGTCCCGGGACTGATTCCTCCTGATAATATGTCCAAAGTATGTGAGACAAAGTCTTGCCATCCTTGCTTCTAAGGAGCATTCTGGCTGTACTTCTTCCAAGACAGATTTGTTCATTCTTTTGGCAGTCCAGAGTATATTCAATAGTCTTCACCAACACCACAATTCAAAGGCATCAATTCTTCTTTGTCCAGCTTTCATTGACCAGCTTTCTCATGTGTAGGAGGCAACTGAAAACACCGTGGCTTGGATCAGGTGCACTTTAGTCTTCAAGGTGACATCTTTACTTTTTAACACTTTAAATAGATCTTTTGCAGATTTGCCCAATGCAATGTGTAGTTTGATTTCTTGTCTGCTGCTTCTATGGGCATTGATTGTGGCCCCAAGTAAAATGAAATGCTTGGCAACTTCAATCTTTTCTCCCTTTATGATGGTGTTGCTTCTTGCTCCAACTGTGAGGATTTGTTTTCTTTATATTGAGGTGTAGTCCATACTGAAGGCTGCAGTCTTTAATCTTCATCAGTAAGTGCTTCAAGTCCTCTTCATTTTCAGCAAGCAAGGCTGCATCATCTGCACATCGCAGGTTGTTAACGAATCTTTCTCCAATCCTGATGCAGAGTTTTTCATAGAGTTTAGCTTCTCAGATTATGTGCTCAGCATACAAACTGAATAAGTATGATGAAAGGATACGACCTTGACGCACACCTTTCCTGACTGTCAACCACGCAGTATTGTTCTGTTTGAATGACTGCCTCTTGGCCTATGTACAAGTTCCTCATGAGCACAACTGAGTGTTCTGGAATTCCCATTGTTCCCAATGTTATCCATAATTTGTTATGATACAAACACCTTTGTGTAGTCAATAAAACACAGATAAACATCTTTCTGGTAGTCTCTGCTTTCAGCCAGGATCCGTCTGACATCAACAATGATATACTTCATTCTACAACCACTTCTGAATGCGACTTAAATTTCTAGCAGTTCCCTGTTGATATACTGTTGCAGCTGCTTTCGAATGATCATCTGCAAAATTTTATTAGCATGTGATAATAACAATGTTGTTCGATAATTTTCACATTCTGCTAGATCACCTTTCTTTGGAATAAGCATAAATATGAATATCTTCCAGTTGGTTGCCCATGTAGCTGTCTTCCAAATTTCTTGGCATAGATGAGTGTTTGCTGCCAGCACTGTATCTGTTTATTGAAACCTCTCAATTGGTATTCTGTCAAATCCTGGAGCCTTGCTTTTTGCAAATACCTTCAATGCAGCTTGCACTCTTCCTTCAGTGCCATCGGTTCCTGTTCATAGACTATCTCAGAGAATGATAGAGTGTCAACCAATTTCTTTTAGTACAGTGACTGTGCATTCTTCCCATGCTCTTTTGATGCCTCCTGTGTTATTCAGTATTTTGCCCATAGAATTATTCAATATTGCAACTTGAAGCTTGAACTTTCTCTTCAATTCTTTCAGCTTGAGAAATGCTGATAGTGATCTTCCCTTTTGATTTTCTACCTCCAGGTCTTCGCACATGTCATTACAATACTTTGTTTTCTCAAGCCGCCCTTTGAATCTTCTGTTCAACTCTTTTACTTCATCGTTTCTTCTATTTGCTTTAGCTACGCAACGTTCGAGAGCAAATTTCACAGTCTCTTCTGACATCCATTTTGGTCTTTTCTTTCTTTCCTGTCTTTTTAATGACCTCTTGCTTTTCTCATGTATGATGTCCTTGATGTCATTCCACAACTTGGCTCGTCTTCAGTCAGTAGGTTTCAATATATCAGATCTATTCTTCAGATGGTCTCTAAATTCAGGTGGGATATACTCATGGTTGTACTTAGGCTCTAGTGGACTTGTTCTCATTCTCTTCAGCTTCAACTTGAACTTTCATATGGGCAATTGATGGTCTGATCCGCAGTCAGCCCCTGGCCTTGTTCTGATTGATGATATTGAGCTTTTCTATCCCCTCTTTTCAGAGATGTAGTCAATTTGACTCCTGTGTGTATTCCATCCAGCAAAATCACCGTTTTTGTTGAAAAAAGAATATGCAATGAAGTCACTGATCTCGCAAAATTCTATCGCATGATCTCCGGCATCATTTCTATCACCAAGGCCATATTTTCCAACTACCAATTCTTCTTTGTTTCCACTTTTGTATTCCAATCACCAGTAATTATAAATGCATCTTGATTGCATGTTTGATCAACTTCAGAATGCAGAAGTTGGTAAAAATCTTCAATTTCTTCATTTTTGGCCTTACCGATTGGTGCATTAATTTGAATAATAGTCATAATAAGTGGTCTTCCTTGTAGATGTATGGATATTATCCTATCACTGACAACACTGCACTTCAGGATAGACTTTGAAATGTTCTTTTTGATGATGAATATAATTCCGTTCCTCTTCAAGTTGTCATTCCCAGCACAGTAAACACATCTGTCACCTTGTCGTACTGTGAGGGCTTGCGTGTTACTGTCATGCTGGAAGGTATGCCACTGGTATTCAAATAACAGCAGGGTCACCCATGGTGGACAGAATTCAGCAGAGATTCTACACTAAGACAGACTAGGAAGGACCCAGTGGTCCACTTCTGAAAAGAATTAGCCAGTGAAAACCTTACGAATAGCAGTGAACATTGTCTGATATGTGCCGGAAAATGAGCCCCTCGGCTTGGAAGATACTCAAAAGACAACTGGGAAAGAGTTGCCCCCTCAAGTAGAGTCGATCTTAATGACATGGATGGAGTCAAGTTTTTGGGACCTTCATTTTCTGATATGGCAAGACTCAAAATGAGAAGCAGCAGCTGCAAACATTAATAATCAGAACGTGGAATGTAGGAAATATGAATCTAGGAAACTTGGAAATCGTCAAAATGAAATGGAATGCATAAAAATCAATATCCTAGGCATTAGTGAGCTGCAATGGACTTGTACTGGCCATTGTGAACTGGACAAAAATATGGTCTACTATGCCAGGAATGACAACTTAAATTGGGAATGACAGCTTAAATAGACTACATCTGTGGAAAGAGATGATTGCAAAGCTCAATATCATCAGTAACAAGGCAAGGGGCTGACTGCAGAAAAGACAATCATTAGGTCACATGCAAGTTCAAGGTGAAACGGAAGAAAATTAGAACAAATCCACGAGAGCCAAAGTACAACCTTGAGTATATCCCATCTGAATTTAGAGACCATCTGAAGAACAGATTTGATGTGTTGAACACTAATGACCGAAGACTAGCTGAGTTGTGGAATGACATCAAGGACACCATACGTAAACAAAGGAAGAGGTCATTAAAAAGACAAGAAAAAAAGATCAAAATGGATGTCAGAAGAGATTCTGAAAACTTGCTCTTGAACATAGAGTAGCTAAAGCAAAAGAAAAAATTAAGTAAAAGAGTTGAATAAAAGATTTCAAAGGGTGGCTCCAGAAGATAAAGTAAGGTATTATAATGCGATACATAAAGACCTAGAGTTAGAAAACCGAAAGGGAAGAACACATGCATTTCTCAAGCTGAAAGAACTGAGAAAAAAAATTCACGCCTTGAGTTGCAATACTGAAGGATTCTACGGGGAAAATATTAAACAATGCAGGAAACATTAAAAGAAGATAGAAGGAATACACAGAGTCACCATACCAAAAACAAATGGTCGACATTCAACCATTTCAGAAGATAGCATATGATCAGGAACAGATGGTTCTGAAGAAAGAGTCCAAGCTTCACTGAAGGCATTACCAAAAACAAGGCTCCAGAAACTGACAGAATACGAATTAAGATGTTTCAGTAAACGGATGCAGCAATCAGTCCCTGGAAAAGGATGTCATGCTTGGTAAAATACAGGGTCAGCAAAAAAGAGGAAGACCCTCAACAAGATGGATTGACACAGTGGCTGCAACAATGGACTCAAGCATAACAAGGACTGGGCAGTGTTTCATTCTATTGAACACAGGGTCGATATGAGTTGGAACCAACTTGACGACAGCGCCTAACAACGAATTGTACTTTTAAACATGATACAAGTCAGATGAGATATTAAGTGTTTTTATTAGGAATTCATGCTCATAATAATAAAACCATTTAAAATTTAATCATTTAGAACTCAGCTGTTATTAAATCATCTAATACACTTGTGCAAAGCATAAAAGTATAAATTAGAGGTCTCTCTCTACAAGCAGAAACCAGGGAGATCTGAGTCTGTACATCCATTTTATCTCACCAAGGAGAATGCTGCTAAAACGGCTAATAATATTTAACACATTTGGGGTTTTGGCATGACTTGCTAAATATTAATAAGAGAATTTAAGAGGTTTACCAGAATTTAATTAAGCTTTAAAGTAACTTTAACATCAGTTAAAACAGGCATTCCTCTGAATTTGATTACATCCATTAAATTGAAAAATTCTCAGCAGAAACACACCAAATGATCTAGAAATTTTCTTCCAGTGGAAACCGTAAACCCAAGAAATTAAATACACACATCTCACATATTAAGCTTCTCTAGCCAAAGAAAACAGTTTGAGTTTAGATTCTAATTCAAGACTATGGAGAACAGTCAAAAATTACAGAGAATAAATACCAGCTCTATGCATAGGTTGGAAGACAAGGACCTAAACTGGGGACTCATGCTTTCCACACACCTGAAAACCTCAAGGCAAAAACACTCCCCACTGTGGGGCAGGGTGGGGGGGGAGGTCTGGAGACCCCACACAATATCCAGCTGGACTCACTATCCACAGCTTATCTTTGGCGATGTCAGGAGAGCACCACCACCTCCCAGGACCCCATAAAGAGTCAAGGCTTTCACCTACAAACTCTCCCCCTTTTCTAACCTATAATACAGTGTGAGAAGAGAAGCTGTATATTTAGAACTGCACAAGAAATCCTGCAGTGCCCGGGAGGAGTCAAGAAAACTATTACGAGAGATGAGACAAGGACGGCTCTGGAGGGCAGGGCTCAGCCTCCACAGCCAGAGCTGCTCTGTCTTCAGGCTCTGGTCAGCAGACTCTGCCATTCGACATGGAGCACCAAGGCCCAGGATGGGGATTTAACGCCCCATGGTGCCAGCTCTGAGAGTCACATAAGGAAGGTGACCCCAGGTATCCAAATCTTGAAAAGCCACGTAACTGTAGAGGAAGGGCTTAGTGACAGTGGAGCAGGGCCTCAGGATGCCTCCCAGGGCTCAGTCCCTTGGCCGCCTCTGCCACCTTTTTTCTTCGTTGAGGAACCACAGTGTGACAGCACACAGATGGTCCCCCAACAATTCACATCCAGCCTCACCAATGTATGGTAAGTGTAACTCAGTTCTCCATAGAACTCACCATTTCCTTCTCTGGCCTCCAGAAGTCTAAAGGAATGTCATCTCTGAGCCCAAGAAGAAACCACTTCAGGAACAGGGATGGGAGTGGAAGCAGAGCACTGGGCAGTTTGGAAGATGAATGTTTGCTCCACACACCAGTCAGAGCTGTTGAAATCCTGACTTCTGGTTTATGGATGTGCAAGATGGTTGCCCTAGGTCCCCAGTTCTCCCTGCACCACACCTGAGACCTGAAATGGAAGAAGGATGGGGGGAAACAGTGTTGAGGAAGCAGGGAGTGACAGGTTTCTGGCTTCCTCCCAGCCTCAGGGCAATGCTCCACCCTGAGGCATTTGCACTGAAGGCAGAACATGCTCCAGCCCGCAGAGCACATGCCTGCATTCTTCATGCAGCTCCGTGGGCTCTTCTTTCCGGCAACAAGATCACAGAGGAATGAATTTACTTATCCCAGAGCATGAGAAGCAACCAGGCCTGGCCAAGCTGGAAAACTTAAACCTGATTTCCTCCAGGGAGTCAGGGGTCCAATGTGGAAGCTGAGTTCACCTATGTAATTTTGTCCCTTATAGATCAACACATGCACTATTATTTGATACTAACATGGGTAAATTTTCAGGAAGAACATATTTTTCGAGTTTTCTCAATGAACTCATCACGGTTCATTCATTTTTATTTATGTTCCGTTAAAACTCTTCTATGTTTTTGGAGCCCTGATAGTGCAATGGTTAAGGGTTCAGCTGCTAACCAAAAGGTTGACAGTTCGAATTTACTAGCAGCTCCTTGGAAACCCTATAGGGGAGTTCTACTCTGTCCTATAAAGTTGTTATGAGTTGGAATCAACTCCATGGCAATGAGTTTCTTGGTATCGTGCTTTTAAAATTTTTTTTCATTTCATTTCTAGCATTGTAACATGTAATCCGTATTTTCCCTGCTGCTTTTGCAATTAATATTCCCCCTCCCCCCTTTTTTCCCTTTGTTCTCAAACCATACCACCACCAGTCCTTAAGCTTTTGAGAAATCTGGGGTGATTCCTGAACATTTTGTCTTACAGCCTTATAAATCGATCAACAAATAAATCAGAAAATGATGAGTTTCCTCTAGTAAGCCGTCTCCCGCCTCTGTTCCCACTTCTTTCCACCCTGCTTCCCTCCAAGCTGTCTCCTATTCTTTCATTTTTCGGTTTCATGTAGATGTTCTCTTTCTACTCTGCTCTTTACACCAGTGTCTCCCCTTTAAACACTATCCTTTTATCATTTTCTTTAACAGAACTCTCTAATTTTAATTCACATTCTTATTTCTAAACTTATCATTTCCAGCATAAACTAGGAGATTGTTTAGTAGGTAGAATTTCAAGCCCTACCCGAGAACGGCTGAAATCAAAATCTGCGTTTTAACAAGATTCCCGATTATCCACATTGACATTCAAGTATGAAAAGCACTCACTGATCTATGGCCTGTAACGCAAGGAATGAGCATTCTATCAATTGATGCCCTTCAATCATATACATCTACATTATATCACTGCACTATATTCCTAATCCACAACCAATCTCCATGTCTAGGCCTCCTCACAGTTTTCCTTAACTTGTTCATAACAAGCTCCTGTCTAACATCATTCAATCATGGTTGTCATTTCCAAAATCTATTTGCAGCACAAGAACTGTTTAATGCTCGTCAGTGACTGTCCACTGGCCTTCAAAAAGCCTAGAGTAGTTAGCATGGTTCTAAACGACCTGCTGCCATTGCCTTCTCCAAGCTGCCTCACAAAACACCCCCACCTACTCACACTTCGTTTTCTCTGCCTCAGTCATCTCGGACTTTCATCAAGGAATGGATACTGGGTTCTCTGCTGCCTCAGGGATTTACACTCATTTTTCCCAATTGACATACTTCCCACTCTCACCCATACCACATGCTCTCAGCCCTACACAACCATGCAGGAAGCTAAATAAAACTAATTTTCTGGATCTGCACTTAAATAATTTTCCTTCTCAGGCAGTCTAACCTGATTCTGGGGTTAGGTCTTTTTACTGCAGGTATCAGATATGCCTGGTTTTTCACTATTTAAAACTGCCTCCCATGCAGGACTGTAAATATATGAGCAGATACTCTGTATTTTGTTTTCTTGTTCCTTCTAGCCTAATGACACTGTGAAGAATATAAACACACAGATTATCACTTGTTGTATATATTCTTCAGCAGCACTATCCAAGGGAACTTTCTTTGAAGATAGACATGTTCTGTCTCTGCACAGTCCAGTATGGTAGCCACTGGCCCCATGCAGCTAGTTAGCACAGAATATATGACTAGTGTAACTACGGAACTGAAATTTTTCCTTTGGTTTTAATTAATTTTAACTGAAATAGCAGCATCTGGCTAGTCGACATCACAGCTCTAGTGGATTCACCAGAGCCCTAAGTGACTAACACAGCAGAGAAGGTGTGAAAGCTGCCATCGGGACAATGCAGAGCCTCACAGCTTTTTGTTTGCTGGAAGCCTGTCACATAGGGAAATAGAACTAGTACAAGAAAAGTTAAGATTCAACTCAATCTGTATTTACATGATGAAGGTTAATGTCAACCTAAATTGGATTTACCTCATTCTGAAACCCAGAATGATGTTTACACATAGACATTAGTGGGAGTAACTGATGGGACAGGCGGGGCACTCTCTAAGGAGATATTTGAATTGAGACCTGAATTATAAGAATTATCAAATTCCCATGGTTGAAAAGTTTTCCTGTGATCAGAAAAATTACCTGGTGCAAAGGTTGAAAGGCACGGAAAATCCTAACATTTTTGAATTCGTGTTTTAAAAATGTGTCAAGAACTTATCTAACATGAGGGGGTCACACATTTAAGTCAGAGAGCTATTCGTGAGCCTGAACATTGAAGACATTGTTGACCAACATAAAATATGTGCATTTTATTCTATGTCTGATTAAAGCTTAATTGGTTTACATTGTTTAAATATACCTCTTGCTGCTCGGAGAAGATTATACCTTCTTGTGACAAGAAAAAAAGTAGAAGAAAGTTCAGAGGCTGCTTTTATAAGGGAGCTCTCCTCTCACGGTAGCTTGGACTATTTCCCTGAATCTAGTGAATGGATGCTGATGCCGCTTACTGGTTGGGAAAGCCACATGAGAAGTAGATCTGTTCAGCTGAGATTGTAAAACCTGTGTCTTAGACTTGTTAGGTTGTCTCCTCCTGGCCAAAAAGAACTGAACTGTGACCGCTGAAACAAGCTCCATTCCCACTTTTGAAGCTTCAAGCTAAAAGAAAGGAAGCACACAGTTCTGGCATGGATTAGGCCTTTAGGAACTGTAAGCTAATATAGTGGAGTTATATGAGAGGCAATTCTTAGATTCCGAACTAGGAAAATTCAGTAGTTTTAAATGAAGGTTTGAATTTCACTTGAAGTGAGTACACTACCAGTCGTGTTTCCAAGGGGAACTCCAGTTCAGAAAGGGAGTACTTTTAGAATATTGATCTCTAGGGAAGGAAAGAGAAAAATAAAAGGCACCACATTTTTCTACGGATGTTGAGATTACAAGGGGTGTTTAAGGATCATTTTCACCTTAGGCATTTTTTGCACTTTTTGACACATGCAATATTTTTACAATTCTAAAAAATAAGAATATTTATTTTCCTCACACACTAGATTTCAACTATGGATTCTTAGATGATACCAAAAGCGCGAGCAATAAAGACAAAACAGATGAATTAAAAATCTTGTGCACCTAGGCTACAGAAATCCCTGATTTAAACTGTCTTCAACCTTTAATAAATCTCTAATTTAAAAAATCTCATGCATCAAAGGACATCATCAACAAAGTGAAGAGACAACCTACTAAATGGAAGAAAATACAGTGAAACCTGTGTGAGCCGGAACTCACTGGGACTGCCTTGTTTTTCCAGGTCTTGTAAGTTTTCCACCTTTGACAAGGTGCAGTCTTACAACTTTTTTAACACTTGTTTTAGTGGAAAATGAGTTTTCCTTCTCTGACACGTTTAGGTTTTTACAGGTTTTCTTGTATTTGGGAATCATATACCTCATAAGAGTTTAATACCCAAGATATATAAAGAATTCCGTTACTCAACAACATACCAACTATTTTAAAAATGGGCAAAAAACTTACATGGACATTTCACCAAAGGTGATCTACAAATGGTCAATAAACACGTGAAAAGATGCTCAATGCCACTGTTGTTGTTGTTAGATGTTGTCGAGTTGGTTCTGACTCACAGCAACCCTGTGTACAACAGAATGAAACACTGCCCAGTCCTGTGCCATCCTCATAATCCTTGTTATGCTTGAGCCCATTGTTACACCCACTTTGTCAATCCATCTTGTTGAGGGTCTTCCTCTTTCTCGCTGACCCTCTACTTTACAAACATGATGTCCTTCTCCATTAGTAAGTCATTAAACCAAACCAACTGCTGTTGAGTCAATTCCGACTTACAGTGACCCTTTAGGTCAGAGCAGAAAAGCCCCATAGGGTTTCCAAAGCTGTAATCTTTGTGGAAGCAGACTACCACATCTTTCTCCTGCTGAGCAGCTGGTTGGTTCGAACTGCCGACCTTTCAGTTAGCAGCTGAATGCTTTAACCACTGCACCACCAAGGCTCCTTCATTATTCATTTAAAAAAACTCTGTTGCCGTGGAGTCAGTTAAACTCATAGAGACCTGATTTAGGACAGAGCAGAACTGCCTCAAAGGGTTCCTAAAGAGCAGCTGGTGGATTTCGAACTGCTGACTTTTTGGTTAGCAGCCAAGTGCTTAACCACTGCATCACTAGGGCTCCATTCGTTATTCATTAGGGAAATGGAAAACAAACACCACATGAGATACCACCTCATCCCTACTAGGGTGGCTACTATCAGAAAAACAGAACACAACAAGAGCTGGGGAGAACGTGGAGAAATTGCTGTTAGGATTGTAAAATGGCACAGCCGCTATGGAAAAGTTTGGCGGTTCTTCAAAATGTTAAAAATACAACTACCTATGGCCCAGAAATGTCCATTTCTAGGAGCCACTAGTGGCACAAATGGTTAAGCACTTGGCTGCTAACCAAAAGGTTGGTGGCCAGAACTCCTGGCAACTCTGTGGACAAAAGACCTGGCGATTCGCTCCCGTAAAGATTACAGCCAAGAAAACCCTATGGGAGTTCTACTCTGTCACATGGGATCACCAAGAGTCTAAAATCACCTTGACAGCACCTAACAACAACAGGCATATACCCAAAAGACTTCAAAACAGAGAAGCAAATGGGTATTTTTACACCAGTGTCCACTGCTGCACTATTCATGATAGCCAAAAAGTGGGAAAAAACCAAACGTCCATCAACAAATGCATGAGTAAAGAAAACAGAATATTATTCAGTCATTAAAAAAATGAAGTTCTCATAAATGCTGCAACATAGACCAACCCTGAAAACACTTTGTTAAATGAAATAAGTCAGACACAAAAGAACGGATATTGTATACTCCCACCTAAATATCCAGAATAGACAAATACAGAGACCAAATGGTTACCAGGGATGGATGGGAGGGAGGAGGGGAGTTAATGCTTAAGAGGCACCGAGTCTCTGCTGCAGGTGATGGAAAAACTAGGAAACTGACAGTAGTGACGGCTGCACAACATGGTAAAACTAATGTTATGGACTCATACATGTAAAGGTGGCTGAAACAGAAAAAGGTTTTGATGTATATATTTTACTACACACACACACACACACA